TACAGTTGTCCTTTAAACCTTGAAACTGCTAGACAAACTTGGACAAGACCAGAGAGCCGCATGGTGTCCAGATAGGGAATGAGTCCTTGCTACACTCTTCTTTCCTTTGCTTTTATCATTTGTCACAACTTTTAAACCTTCAATTATTGACTGAACCATATGAAGCCTTTTCAGATCTCTACTTTTTTCATGCATTTACTGATGAAATACTCATTCATTTTGCCTAAAAGCCCCTCTTTAAACTATAATTGGTAAATCATGTCTCCTTTCTGCCAACTAGGTGGTTTGCCATACCCCGACATCACATCACCGTTTGCCTTAGTAAGTCAACTTGCTACCGGATACCGGATGCCTCGTCCTGACCAATGCTCAGAAGAATTGTAAGCATCATAAGTTACATTAAGCTTATAGTGATAATTGATAAGTAGATTTCAAAATAATCGAGCCTCTACTTACGCTGTAAAAATATGATTAGCCATAGTTCCAGCCCATTTTTTTTTAGATGAATAGCTGGTTGCATGTCAAACTAAATGACAATTAACGTGTCAATGATCCTGTTTATAAGGTGTAACATTAAGAAGACATCTCTTTGCACTCCTCTATAGGCTTCATGGGGTAAATTAATATGATAAAAGTCTTATTCGCAATAACACTTTTAGCATATAATACAGGATGTTTAATAATGCTTTATTGAATTTTTAGATATGAACTAATGAGTTCTTGCTGGAAAGAAAATCCTTTGATGAGACCAAAATTTTCTAAGATTGCAAGTCAACTGAAGAGTTTTTTGCGAGAAGTCAAGGTAATTAATATGATTGTATCAAAAAGGTATTCACCTCTTCCCGTAGTTTCACCTCTCGTGATTATACATATCTGAGCTTATATCCGTCAGCAAGTGTGCCCTTTTTCAGCTAATCAGTATATCTGCTCGACCTCCCTATCCGTCCATCCATTCATCCGTCCATCTATTCATCCATTCATCCGTCCATCTATTCATCCATTCATCCGTTCATCTATTCATCCATTCATCCGTTCATCTATTCATCCATTCATCCGTTCATCTATTCATCCATTCATCCGTTCATCTATTCATCCATTCATCTATTCATTTAACTATCCATTCATCCATCCAGAATCCATCCATTATATTCCATCTTTGCCCTTTCCTGACTTCACTCCCAACTTGATATTAATTCATATTCAACCATTGTTAACTATCCTATTCAATCTTCTTCAAAGTCAAGGGCTTATTCGTTATTCCTCTAATTCCTTGCAGAAAACATACATAAATATCACAGAGGACAGCAACGAAGAAGTTTAATGATGTTTTTTATGTTAAAGCAAACGCCTCGTCTTATTATGTTAATAATAAGATGCCGAGTACATGCACTGCAATATCTCAAATAAGTAATGTAGAAACCTTTATAACCAAGCTTCAGAAAGTGCTTCTGACCCTGGTGTGCCTGCTACGTAAAAAAAAAAAACAAAACTTAGAATTCAATTCATGGGCCAGTGCAAACTGCAATTAAAATAAAATATACAGTGCATCCTGCTTCACTCAAAAAGCTTAATTGATTTAAAATAATTGGAGTTACGTAATTAGAGTAGCTTTACATTGATTTTGAATTCCTGTAAGCACTGCGCCATGAGCTTTTCTTTGCGCGCGGAAAATCTGAGGCCTCGAGTAAAGCTAGCTGAGGAGACATCTAAACTTATTTTTGTTGTGCCTCACCCCTCGCAGATTTTTCATCGGTTCGCTTTGCTTGAGACCTCAGACTTTCCAGTAGACGAATAATCCCATGAGCTTCAGCGTTATTGATGAAGGACAGCTTGCAGGCTGTTTATTATCTGTCAAGATTAATCTGTCTGTGGCCGTCCATTGCATTCCCATTTGGTAATTGCCATCTACGGGTCAAAAGGTAACCCGGGATGGTACTCTCACTTAAAATAAACTGGCATGCTGTATTCCTTCGTTGTATGGAAGGTTCTCTCCCTTCTATTAAATAATTTTTCGGATGTTTGGCTTAAAGAAAAACGCAGAGTAAAACCTCCTTCTATGACCGACTGGTAGACCACGCACGAGCAAATAAATCTTAAATATGTGAACATCGTCTCGTTTTTTCACCTTTTTTTGGAATCGTCCCAAAAACCGGACATACTTAATGAGCCTTTTCCCTGATTGCTTAACTGACGTTGTGTATATTGACCGCACATTGTCGTTGCTAGAGACCCTGTTAAATGCGCGCTAATTTGACTAGTGAAAAAGTCGCGTTCCTAACAAGTTTCGAAGGCTCACTAAGAGCTTTGGACTCAAAGGGCAGGTTATTTTGATAAAGTTAAGCCTTTTTTTAAACAGAACCTCGTTCGAAACTATTTTCAGCTTAGCTGAACCTTTTATGCGCACAGTTATTTTTGTGAAAAGAGTCAAGAAGGCCGAAAGCTAACAGTAGAAGGACACCCATTTAATTAACTCAATCGTCCTGTACAGAATATCTAAGACTTACTGCTTGTGTAAAACCATGGTTTAGACCTTCTTTAGATAACCGGCCCAAGCGTCTCTCCACGTTTTCGACGGAATAGAGATCATTTTGATAAGAAAATATCACGGTATTGACCTGAAAGGTAGTTTGAAAACGAGAATAGATCTCATCTTTAAAACCGTCTTCTGTGCTGGGCTTTACTGAAGTATGGACAGCCATGTTACGGGTGCATTTTGCACTAACCACTATCGACTAAGCTGTTTATCGTGACGCGTTCTAAAACCAGTTAGATTGTAACACCGGAACTCCAGAATATGCCAGAATACCGCAATACACTTTAAAAAAAAAACAAACAATAATTAAGGCGGTGTACGATGTTCTTGGTTTAGTACATGCCGTTTATCAAAGCAGGTAATTTAGTGTTAACAACTGAGTTAAAGACGTAAATTGGCCACCGTTAAGAGTAAGAAGCTGACGTTTCGAGCGTTAGCCCTTCGTCAGAGGGATTAACACTAAATTACCTGCTATACTCTCCCACCGACGCAGCACCACGTTTTCGTTAGAAACTTACCCCCTTTATTCGTTTATCAAAGCACTTTATTGAGACTCCGCACAAGATTACTTTGTAGGTCGCTGAGGTTTCTTTTCGGAGGCGTTGACAAGGATTCTTTCTTCACCACAGTGCTTGCCAAAATTTTCTTACAAATTAAAATAATTTTGATGCGCAGGACCAAAAAAAGTTTTGGTTGAAGACTCCAAGGCTCATTATGAAACCCTGAAAACTGCTTCGTTTGCCTCGAAAACCGACATGGAGTGAATAATGAAACTGTAAACATCAGGAACACCGGAACACGCTGAAACAGGCCGGAATACGCTGGAACACGCTGGAACACGCTGCAACACAGAAACACCGGAACACCAAAACACCGGAACACCTAAACAAGCTGGAATACCGCGAAGTATTTAAATAATAATAACAATATAAAATAATAATAAAAATAATAATAACAATAATTATAATTATATTCATGTCGTTTATTAATCCAACGGGTTTTTTCGATAATCCGAGGCCTAGGGTATCTAACAGAAGCGGGACTGTTTCGGCTTTTTTTAATCACTTCGACGATGTCTCATGCTGACTGACACAAAAGGCCTCGATTTTACGCGAGAGCCTTGAATCTCGCTGGCTTGTGGATGCTGTGGAATAAACGTGGGTAAACTGCACCCACTCAATCGAACGAAAACCACCGATGAATTCAAAGTTTCAGTCTCCCGGGAAACATTTGAACTTTTGAAGATTGGCTTTTTCAATTTCCCCCAAAACTTCGTGCAAATGTCTTCGGCTAATCAAACTGACTAATGATAGTAGTTTACTATAGCTGTACAATTTCTCCCAATGCTACGCCAATGGAATCGTCTTTAGGCGTCTTGTTTTTTGGACTGCGGATGCACTCTGTCAAACAGTGAGATAACAGAACTTCGCACAAAATGGAAAACTGAGTTTTGGAAGAAACACTGCTGGTCCCAGTTGTTTACGATTATCCTACAAGCAAAGCGTTTCCCCCCACTCAAATCACTCCTCAGCGTATACGCACATCTTCCTGTTTTTCACTCTAGTCCGCCAGAAACTTATTTATGAATTGGTCATAACAGCATAACAGAATTCTACAATTAGCGGACAAACAGGCTTAGCGAACTTGATCTTTGATGTTATCCATCCCTTGTAACCTATTTCATTTTCCTCAAACCACATCCGCTGAGTTGTATTCTATTAATAACAAAAATGCCGTTTCGTATTACGTTTCTCTTACTCAATAAAGTGTGCATAATTTTCTACACGACCTTCATTGACAACCTATGATTCCAATAGGTGGTTTGTTAACAATTCTCACAGCTAAACCTAAAGGTAAGTGTATTCATTTTTCACATTATTTTAGTTTCCAATTGACGACTTCTTTTGCATTTCCGTTGCCAAAAAAATTATCTTTTGAAGAAATTAATGAAAAGGAAAATGTTAATTTCGATCGTGGTGTTGTGAACAGCGAAGAAGAGCCATGTACAAACAATATATTTTTCAAAAGGATTTGCAGAACAATTTATCATTAAATTAAACTGTTTGATGCAATACGTTATATTACCAGGTTGTGATTCATAGGTGACGCTTAATTGCACTGTAGTTTTGAGAAATCTGGAGAGATTCTTGAACATAATTTTTAGACGTCTTGAATTTTGCTAATGGAAAATAGTCAAGGAAACATAAACTTGATGCAAAATGCTTTGATTCAAATTAAGTTTCTCCGTTTGTAAACAGGAAGATCGATCTCATTATTAGTTATGTCAGCTATGTCTGACAGCTCTTGTAAATTTGAACACAAACTGAAATATGATGCGCCTCTTCCTTTCTCTCTCTCAGCGTATTATTTGGTATATTTGACCACTTGCATTGGGTTTTTTTAGTACAGTGACCCATTTCCAAGAAACAAATTGGCTTTTTTTCCTATAAATGAACTATTTTGAAAATACACAAATTGATTCTATCAACTTCAATGTTCTTTTCGTTACTACGGTCGCCAAACGGAAGCATGTGTAAGATGGATAAAAAATAGAGGGTCAACTTTTGGCTTACATAACAATAATAACAAACATATGACCACCCTGAAAGCTACCAGAATATAGCGTTTCAGACGACGCAACTCTTGTAAAAAATTTTTCAATGATCGCTTACTTTATTTTGCTGGATATTCTATTAAGTATTCGGTTCTTCTAATCCCAATTTGTTCAATCTTAATCTGTGGTGGAACAGAACAATTATCTCAAATTCTTAAGGGCCTTTTTAACAATAACAATGCGGTTTCCTTATCGCACGATACACTAAAGTACAACTCAGTTGGTGGTCGAACTCATCTGTACTAATAAACAGGCTTTAAAACCTTCTAAAAATACTAAAAGGATCATAAAAGAAAGCTCAGTACTATTTGTTACACAGCTCTTATTTAAACCCGATCTAAACTAAGTATTATATCACATAACTTTAAGAGCATGTTAAGATCGTTTTCAGGCTCAAATCGCGCCCTAGAAAAAAAGATTAACATTTAAAAAAAATATTAAGCACGTATAAGTAACGAAATCAAGTGTAAGTGACGAAATCAATACAGCATTGAAACGAAACTGTATGAAAATAAACAAAAATATTTCTTTCATAGCAAAGTTCAGTACTTTTTTGTAAAATCGTCAAATCTGTATCTCACCTTTTACATTTCCCCTTTCGTGACTGCCTGAGTGTGTTGATGTAGATAACGTGATTGAGTTAATGATATTATAGCTCCACTTACCTCCTTAGTTAAAGAACTCATTTTGAGGAAACAATCCCGGCCCACGATGGGTAACTTTTGTCTTAGAAAAGCGTCAACATGTTCAGTTCTTTTAACTCTTATGGGCGCGTTATGGAATCTGCCATTCAGCATCAGAGGCGAAACATGCGATTCCAATATAAAAAGTAAGTAGTTTTAACTACTTTCAAACATTCCAAGTGGGGCAGTTAGTAGTTAAACGTCCTGCTCTAAAAGGATGTTCATGCGAAAGTTTTTCTTGTGAGCACAATAACTGAACGTGAGTATGTACTGAAAATATAAAATGGCTGCCAAACAAACAGCTCCTAGTCATGTGGAGGATCCAGAGAATGCAGGTGTCTTCATCAAAACGTTTAGCATGTGTAAATAAGAAAAACCGAATATGAACTCTTGACTGATCCAGCGTTTAAAAGCAGGACGTTTCGGCCCTTGGCCTTCTTCAGGTGGAACATAAAAGTTAAAAATTAACATTAAAAAGCTGCATTAAAACTCTTGATCGGTCAAGAGTTTGTGAACTACACTAGCTAAATTTATAAGATAGATTTATTAATAATCTTTCTCATTGTCGGATAGGCTATAAGGACATTGTACATTATTCATATTTTTTAAAAAATTATTCAATCTCTCCAACCCAGTCAGACCCGTTGTGGACATCTCTTCAAGTCCAGAAAACAGCACATTACCCATTGGTGGCTCCATTACCCTGAATTGTACAGCGCAGCCCAGAGCGATAGATATTGGATATAAGGATAGATGGGTCAAGTATATCGAGTGGTACGATCTACAGGGTAATGAAGTGGGATCTAAATGCCAGCAGCCTTCAAACAAACGTAAATTAAGCTGCCCATTAGTACTTAAAAATCTGACAGTTGACAAATTTGGCCTTTACACTTGCCAAGCGGGCAATGGTTACTCAAGGCACTACACAAGGAAATCATTTGAAATAGTGATCCAAGGTAAACAACTTTATCATACTTTCTAGGTTCTTTAATGCGAAGATGGGCGCCGTGTTTTGGATTTGGAGGCAATGATGGAATATAGATGGATTTGTATTCGAACAAAAAGACACAAATGTAATAAAAAGTGTCTAAGAAACTCCTTGAATGTATGGACAGGCAATTCCAATATATAATTTATCACTATGGGAAATTTCGGCATATAATTCCTTTATTTAACGATGGGCTAACAGGACTCGAAAATCAACATTCAATTAAAGAACGAAATTATTCATGCAGATACCGAAACAATTAAGTTCTTTCTGATGGTTTGAATACAAAAACAAAGAATAAATCTCTTGAGTTCCGACATTTTCTCTATGCTGTGAATGAAAGGAAAGTTTTGCATCGTGAGCGAGTGCATCCGAAAGTTCCAGGTTGGTCATTGGTTTGAAATGAACTTTTGTCTAAAAAAGTTGCCTATGTTCCTTTCGGGACTCAAGAGATCGATCCATTAAGATCACCGATCACTTCACGTACACCTCTGCCGATGTTACCAACTGCATAACTCGCCCTTATAACAAAAAGTTATACATTGGTGAAACAGGAAGACGACTAGGTGACCGATTCCGAGGACACCTTCACGACGTTGAAAGAAGTGAAAAGGACGCACCAGTCGCTAGACACTTAAATCTCCCTAGCCATTCTAAGGAGCATATGGCACTTTGCGGCCTTTCCCCACATTTAAGCGGTTCGGAAAACCGCAAAACTCGAGAACATGGTATCAACGTGCGATTTTTATTCAACTAATTTCTTCTTTCTTTCTCGTCACCATATTCCCACCAATAACGTAGCTCCATGTTCTGCATATATACACACACACAACCCACAATTCCTCCGACCTCTCTGACGAAGGGTTAACGCTCGAAACGTCAGCTTTTAAACTCTTTACGGTGGCCAATTTACGTTATCAACTCAGTTGACAATACTTTATTACCCTGTTATACTCTTTTACCGACGCAGCCCCACAGTTTCTTTAGAAACTTAACCCCTCTATTCATATGCCTGACATACTTTCCTATGAGCACGAGAATATGGTCATAAAAATTGTGGCATGTGTAAGTCTCAAAGCAAGTTATCTTCTCGTCTGGCACAAGAATGTAATAATTCTAACATCACCTAACGTCAGTCTCTTACTATAATTGGATTAACTTCAAACCGGCTGATCTCGATAATAACAAGTATATTCATTGCAATATATTTTTCCCTACAGTCCATGCGCCAGAGTTAATAGGAGTTCCTCGGAACCAAATTACTGATATAGGGGCAAATGTAACTTTCAACTGCACCGCCACAGGTCTTCTTGCACCAAGCATCTCATGGATCAAAAACAGTGATTCATTTGCCTGACAATCCAACCCAAGGGACGACAAAAGCACGCAAAGCCAGTTGGTTATTACAAG